GTAATGACTCGATCACAGCGCCACCTCTTGGGGTTTTATCTCCGTAACATTTTTTCATTGGGTAAAAACAAACACAACTAAAAAAGTCTACTTAAATCGGACAATTCGTTCTCGAGTTAGGGGCGGTCACACATTTTACGCAACTTAGTTATATATATATATAGAGATAAACCGCGCAACATCCTCGGTAAAAATATCATCTGTGCTTTCCTTGAAACTTGCACTTTATTACTCTAAAATTGAACGGGTTATAAAACGGCATACTCAAAAATAAAAATAATTTTTTTTTTATATTCAACAATTTTTATTGAGCTCGAGGCCGTTTTTTTAATGAAAATTTATTGTGGAAAAGCAACAATAATTTGAAAAAATGGTAGAAGTGATAGAAGTCTGATGAGGAAATGTGGTGATTTCCGAAATAGCTATCACTTCTACCATTTTTTCAAATTATTGTTGCTTTTCCACAATAAATATTCATTAAAAAACGGCCTCGAGCTCAATAAAAATTGTTGAATATAATTGTTATAAGGCCTCAAAATAACAAAAACAAGTTTGTTTTAAGTTAGAAATTTTTGATGAAAATTTCTTGAATTATTATAAATTTTGTATATATGTAGTCGAAAGTCGGATTGACATAATTTTTGTTATAGAATATGCTACAGTTTTATAAAAAAGTAATGATTATTAAATAAACGAGAGAAAAACTTTCAATGCTATGCATCAAAAGAGGGGGCTATTCCAGTGACGTGCACTGTAATTGTGAAATAAGAATGTATGCAGTCTTCTACACAGCTGTGAAAATTACACCGCCGAATTAAAATAAATACCTCTATTGGTTAGTAATGGAACCGAGTGTATGCCGCGACTAAACCCGCATTTTATATTTTGTTAATGCATTGCTAGATGTAGTTAGCAAATTTTGTGCAAAAGACTTGTGCACCCTGAATCAAATTTCACTGTACACTGCGTGCCAAGCACTCATGCTTATTTCTTAATTGCTCAGCGCGCAAATAAATTTGAACTTGCACTCTGCAGAAATCTGAAAGTAATTGTACCACTTTAGCTAATTCTTCAGCAGATTTCACAGTTTGCTAGTGAAATACTATTGCTAAGCTCTGCACGGAGTAAAGAAAATTTCTTTAAGTTGTAGTGGGTACTTCTTGCCGTCATTGTGCGTATAATTTATTGTTGTGGTTTTTGTTTTTGCCCAACCGATATCACCTTGGACCTACAGTTTTATGCTGACTCTTTTTGATTTTTTTTTGTATGGCAGAGGTACACTCGGAAGTTTGTCATTGCCTGCCGAGGTGACTGCTTTTAGAAAAAGCTTTTTTTGATTCTGATCTGAACCTAGGTTCTAATGTATGGAAATACGCACCTCTACTACGCACTCGGCTACGCCGGTCGCTCTAAGTATACCCTGCATTGATATGGCAGCTACAAAGCTGAGGAATCTTCAACAAAAAGAGACTAAGCGTAGTAATTCTGCCATACTACTTCTTTGAAATTTCAATACACATGTTGCTATGGGCTTGTGAAAGGTTTCCTAGAAAGTTTGGCTATTGTATGTAGTACTACATATGTACTTTTCTGAAATTATGACATAAAGCTCTTAGCAAGTTTTTTTTTCTGAAAACTCCTCTTCAATTAAGACACGCATATCCAAATGTTTCATTTAACTAGCATTTGCATGCAAGCTGCTCTTTTACGTGCATGAGTAAATCTACCTTCCTCTGGATGAAATAGCAAACCAACATTTTGGCCATTTAATAAACTAAACGAACGATGTATGTATGTATGTATGTACATATAAGCTGCTGCAATCAAAAGGCATTCCAAGAAATTTATTTACGATTTGTCAGGCATAGAAATTGAATAAATGTTGTTACCACAGCTGAGAGAAATTAAATTGCTGCTTGCTGCGTAAAACAAAATAGTTTATGGAATTGATGGTAGTCATAACTAGTCACAGGGACACTTTACACAAATTGGTTGTTCCACTTGTATAGACAAGTTCCTAAGTATTTTGTTTGTATAATTGCTTATAAGTTTGCTGCCAGTACTACTCGCTTTGTGTATAACAATTTCCACCTTGGCATAAATTTCCCACACAAATATTCTAACTATGTATTCTTGCATATTCAATTAAAATTTAGAAAAAGTAGTTTAACTGATGTTTGTCCGAAAAATTAGGAAAATTTATTTATGAAATAATTTACTGCGACGTTTGTTATTAGTATAAGAGAAAACTGGTTTATCGCTTATGCGAATTTGGCAAGTGATATTGGAAAATCGAGGAAATGATTTTGAATTTTCCGTACAATTAACCAAAGGCTTGCTGACCTCTGACAGGACTTCAATCAACTCTAAATAACTTATCGAAGTGACTTGCGCTACTTTTACCTCGGCAGATATTGCAATCCTTTATCTGCTTTTCCAATTCCTTGTTCCTGAGCTGATACTTGAGCTTCAAATAAGACTAGTAAGTCCAGGTTTTGGCAATCGGGTGAAAACCCACTTTTCGAATATGATAGACCTGACTAGTTCTTAATTAACTACAAGTACTTGATGACGGATAGCTTTACGTTACCCTAGAACAAATAATCTAGAGGCGTTAAATCGCACGATCTCGAGCGGCCCATTTCGAGAAATAAGGCCTTCACCACACAGCCAAAAGTATATTATGTTTTTCAACGAAGTTATTGTTTGATTTTTTCGTGCTAAATACACCGATTGTAAGAAACGTGATGAGTTGAACATTTGAAAACACATTCGTATGTCTGGCTGTAGCTGAACGTGCAGGGATGCTTCCTGTTATTTGTTGGCTTTCGAAGGTCTGGGTTCGAATACGATCAAACGTCGAAGAAAATTGATTCTAGTTCAGCAATATAGCACAAATTTACAGAACGACTCTAGCTGGATGTGCAGAGATGCTTGCTGATATTTGCTAACAGAGGGTCGGAATCGCGTCATAACAAAAGTTTTTGTTTTGTGTCTTCGCATTATGAAAAAGCATCTGTGAAGTGCTGAACATAGTAAACGATTCAAACGAAAAAATCATCAAACAAAAATTGGTTTAATGTAAACAAAATTTTCGTTAATATTACCAAATCATTGTTGAAAATGTCAACCGAGGCATTGTTAATATTAAAAAAGAAATCACTTTCCTTTTTCCTTTTCAAGTTTGTGGTTGATTTTTCTCAGTGCAATTTTTTTTTTTTTTTGTAATTTTATCACAACTTGCAACATTATTCCGGTCTCTTCATTATGATCACAATTGTAACCGTTTAATTGTTATCGGAAAAAGAAATTACGTATTTTACTACTTTTACATTCGCCATTCAACGCGATTGCGCTCGCCAATAAACAGAAACCGCTCACAAAACTTTGGCGTTTAACATGCTAGTAAAGTCCTCCTTATGGTGGCTTAAGACAAACATCCGTGAATTCCAAAGCCATAGCGTCTCTGTATACATACATATGTACTTATGTATGCGTAATTGTAGCTGTTCATGCACAAATATGTACCTACTACACAATGAAATCGCACTAATCACAGTGCATTTAGCAATGAGTTACTACTAGTGGCAAACCAAGTCATGGTAGTGCGCACTTGATTCATGCAAATAACCCAATTTTCCGCACTTACGATTAATGACGATGTACATCTACTCTAGTTGGCATTCAAATCCACTCGCAAGAGCGGATATTTGTTTTATGATGAGTGCAAAATCTCTCCGCCTGCGACTGTAATTCCACATGTGTACTATTTGCCTGCATACGTACGTAAAATGTGCGTAGTGCATTTCTATTTTCTGCTCCTATAACCCACCAATACATGCCCACAGAGATTACTCACGCTTTTGCATTCGTTTTCGATTATTGCCTTTGTAAATTAAAATTCGATTTGCTGCATGCTAATTGCAACATCGTCATTGATAGCTCAGCTGCGCCACACAAGGACGGCTCACTACCCCATATACGCATGCAAGAGTGCAAGGAAGAAAGTAACGACGAAAATACATCATTTGAGTTAAATAGCAAGTGGAAATTCGTGTGAACTCTTACCGTGGGATTCAGTCATTCAGTCTCATCTCAAGTCACTAAATTTGAGATTAGCTATTAGTGACTATTTTTGTGACTTGAGACGATTTGGGTATTCAGAAGGAGAGAGTCACAAAAACTTCACCAAAAATGTGTGGTGAAAGCAAACACAGCCAATCAACTGATAGTGTTTATGTATGCCTTTTGCCTGCGCCGCTCAAAGAGTCGCAATGACCGAGTTGTCAAAGCATTAGGCTGGCAGCCGATAGGGTCCGGGTTCAAGTCCTCCTCGGCCGTAGAGGATTTTTTATTTTTTTTTTGTAGGTAGTATTTTTTTATTTTTTTTATTAGTTTTAGTTTTTAACAATCTTTAGATTTTAGTGTTTTAAAAACAAAAAAATTAATTTTTTTTCAATACATTTGTATGATATTAAAGCATATTGGTTTATTTCCTAATGAAATTCTTGTTGAACAAATTTTCTCGCTTCATTTTCGCGTTTTTTTTTTAATTAAATGGAAAGAAATAAGCTTTTCCTCCATACTTCTATTTTTGTGGCCGGCTCTTGGCCAGCTGACAAATTAGTGACTTATTTTTGAGACTAGAGACGTCAGACAGGGTACTGAATACCAAATAGTCTCAAAATCCAAGTTCACCACCAAAAGTCACTATTTGTGACTAGAGACCGCTTACTGAATGCCATGGTTAGAATTGCTTTGTGAGCCGATTAGTTCACTTACTCTAGGAGACTAAGAATTTTCAGCAGTTTAGCTGCAGGCTGGTTGTTGTGTATTTTTAAATTCATTAACACAGCTTTTTCATGTTCTGTACACATGTATGTATGTATGTATGTATGTAGATACATAAATTTACCTCTCATCTTAAAAGCCTTCATATTTCTTTCCATATACCTACTATGTGCATAAATCTAATGGTTTTATCTTCTTTTCTTCCACAGATATTATACATGGCAAACTTTTCCAAAACAATCGTTTTCTGGAAATTGATTATGCGCAAGGACGCGACATTCCCCCTGGCTATACCAGCAAAATCGCTCAAACTCTGCAACAGTGGGTGGATTCGTGTAACACCATTTCCAATTGCATTGATGTGCAAATAACGCGTGCCAACTTTGAGAAGGCTAAGAGCTTGAAAAACAAGGAGCATATTGAACAAGAGGTGAGAAAAACGCGCACACACACACACACACACACACACACATACACACATTGAACACATGACCCGCGTGTCATCGGCGGTGAACTCTCAAATTTAGATTACTGCTCGCTTTACGCGAACGTCGTGAATATTTAACCCCTAGCGTTGTGTATTTCCACGGCGTCTGCAATGTAAATTTTTTTTTTTATTTTTCCGAAATTATTTGCCAAATCTTGTAGTTTTATTTTAATTTGTTTATGTAAACAAATCTCCCGCCACATAGAATTATGCATTCAGTCGCACAAACACAAGTCCAATAATTCTAATTTGTTTTTTTGCGCTTCATTTACTCACACTCCTCACTTTTGGTTTTACCTTCTTCTTGTTGTTTTATTTGCAGATAATTAATTTGAAGAAAGTTTTGAAGACCCAAATCACCGAAAACGATGATGCCATGCAAGTCGATACCCGCGAGTCATCCAGCATGGATGTCCGCAGGAAGCCGTTCAAGACGAAAAGTTCACGTCTCCATCATGCCCCAGTGGGTAAGTTGACAGGCGTGGCCTCGTCCTCCGCGGACGTTGCCAGCAATGTGGCCAGTGGAAGTGGTGGTTCTTTAGGCGGAGGAGCCATCGGTGGCGTCACAAGTGTTACTATGGCAGCGGCAAACACCACCACATCGTGGCTAAAATCATTCACGCAGTCTTTCGAGAAGGAATAGGTGGTGGCTAGCAGCAAATGAGGAGGGAAGCAGAGGCTACTTGCCTATGCCGTCAAAATCAAGTTCGTAACAACTAAACATATTTTCGTATACACGTGAAGCGTCGTCGTCCTTAATTCATTTATATGAAACAACAGCTACGTTTAATGGCTTGCCAAGTGTGCTTTCGAGATGACTAGACAACTTGAAGTGCGCATGGACATAGAAAAACAACCGCGGCGACGACTGCAACGCTGGCAGGACAGCAGCACGTCACACAATTTCATTTAATTAAGCAGCTTCATTTTCATTATTTTGACTGTAGATACTTTTTAATTGTTTTCGTAGGCGTGCGCTGATTACTACCATTTTCAGTTTTATCTTCATTTCCCTATTTTGCTCTTGGTTGGCTTCCTACACTTCATGTTTTCATTACGTAAGGTTCATGATATTTAATTGCAGTACGTTTTTTTTAGTTTTGAAATTAATAGCTGCTATTCGGTATCGTCAAGCGCTAATTTACATAAAACATTGTTATCTATGCGTGGCGGTTAATTGAAAAAAAAAACCATAGATACCATTTGCATACATATGTACATACACTTATTTAGCTTTATCATTCGCTCTTCAATCAACTGCATTCTTATCTAATTTACCTTTTTCTTTTATTTACTTTTCGGTTTTGCACATCATTCACGACTAATAAAAAAAAAAAAACATCTACCTACCTACCACACAATGCAGACACGCAGCTGTACGGAGCCAATCATCGTCCGTTCCCAGCGAAAAAGCCTGAAGTTCCATCTGGTAGCATGAACTATTTGAATTAACGACCAACTCCTAAAACTGTGTTGTCCGCTGTTCAATTCATCAGTACAGAATTTTATAGTTAAACGCAGAATATGTGTCAAAACTCTATTATCTTCAGAGTTTTTGTTAATACAGTCCAGTCATTCGAGAGATCATATCTACCAGTTTATGTACTCAACTTCATTAAATTGCTGCGCCATTACATCTTTGTTTAACTCTCTTTAAAAATAATGCATAATATTCAAAACATGAAGATTCAAAACATTTGTCAAAATAAAATGAAAAAATAATAAAATCTTTCTATAAATATGAAATGGACACCAGAAATCAAAACGTATTCATTAGGAAACACGAGGTAAGTAGATATGTTGTATAAGCTTGTTGTAGTAGCAACTTATCTCTGTCTGCTGATACTTAGTCGTTAGCGTCAAGCTGAGCTGACCGTAGCCTCTGGAAACGGGGCATACGCTGAAGGACTTACATAAGTGAGGAGAAAACACCACCCTATAGGATTCTGTTGTGTTCTTTTTGGCTCGATGTTCGCCAAAGTTAATCACACACAGGTTTTGAAATGAAAATTTGATCCTAAACAAACTGAGATTAGCGATATCTAGTACTGAAAAGTAAAAACAAAATCGTGGTATAAAGCTCAATAACACTGTTGAAATAAATATTAATGCGCTACAATAACAATGACAAAGTAAAAAAGCAGTTTTCTTGCACAAAAAAAATGCTACAAACTGGAAAAAGCAATGAAAATGTATCAGATAGGCAACATAAAAACACGATTTTGTTTTCGTTATTATACAAAATGATATTTGCATAAAACGAGCCACAATTTATTCAATTCACTTAAGGCAGTCATAAGTTATCGTAAATTTTTTTTGTCGTTTTTGAAAATTTCCCACGTCGTTCATTCACACGTCTCAAATATCAATTGCATTCAATTTCGATTGCTTTCTAAGTTATTAAACTGCTCAGTAGTATTTCGCAGAATAAGCTCCTGTATTATCCGCGTGATAAACGCCACTACCGTCTGGATGGTAAACACCTTGTGCCTCTAAAAATATCAAATAGAATACAATCAAATCAAATTTTTAATGATATCAGTTGCCTTCAAATTCAAATCAGGCGCCACTGGTTTTCTGGCACACTTCCCCCGCCCAACCACTAAGCAACAATATATTCGTGCTACTAGCAATTTTTATTACCTTGCGATGAATCATAATTGCCGTTGTTGTCTGGCACCCATGCTCCACTATTGTCCGCCACATAGCGCCACTTCAGATCATCGTGATAGACACCCAAACCATCGGGCGACCACCTGCCTTCCTCGCCGCTTGGGTGATAATAACCAGTGTTATCTGCCACATATTGCCCAGCATTGTCGGCCACATAAATGCCTCTTAAATCAGGCGTATATAAGCCTTCCTCCTCGCTGTCATTGATCGTCCTTGTCGGCCTGATACTACGCTCACCACAGTTAATTTCCACGACCAACACTAACAGGAGCAATAGCAGCACAGAGCTCGTCTATAAAATTAAGTTGCATGAGCACAATTCACTGACATGAGAACAACGGATTCGTATTGTAATAATCACCATTTTCAAATATCCCTGCATTGTATGTGGATGCGCGTGTGAGTGTGTATTTCGCTTGTTTGCCTTTTGATTTGTTTGACTTGGATATTGCTCACGGCGTTTATTTGATTTGTCTACTAAAGCCTTCAAACAATGCAGCTTAGGCTTTTATACCTGGAATAAAACGTGATCGTGCGAGAGCTTGTGCGAGTTCATATTTACGGGAGTAAATAATTGAAGGTTCGTCCTATTCGAAAAAAAAAAAACAGCAAATAAAAAACGAAACTAACCTGTTATTTATAAACCCATAAAAACTTACCATTTCAAATGAAAGGGATGCAAAAAAGCTACAACAGGGTTTCTAAAAACAAAATTCTTTAGTTGTATTTGCAAAAAATTAGTTTTTGAGAATTTCACGAGTAATTTTGATTACCCAAACTGGCGCTCACACGATTTCCACTCAAAAACTCCCCACCATTCATTGGTAACAGAGCATAAAGCTGTAATTTTTTAACCCTTAGAAGCAATGGGAGTGTCAATTATGCCATTTAATATTTTATATTTTAAGGTAAAAGTTGATATTAAGCGAGGTCAACAATTTAAGAGAACTGCAGTAGGTATTCAAAAAATCGCGGAAGTTTTCGGATATTTGCAGCGTATTTCAAGCGGAGATGACCGCGATAGAGGAGATAGTCGACTGCCTACGTACCAGCGAATCCAGCGAATTAAAAGCGTAAATATCTACCCTGACAGCCAAACGGCAATCTGAATTCTTAGAGTTGCTTATGGTGCAATCGAAACTTATCGAAGAATGATTGACCTCAGTTCCGGTCGCCTTGGATCACTTCCAAATCAAGCTGCTTTGGATTCCAGAACAAAATGACTCTGCTTGAAATTATATAGCTAATGGATTGGTTAGTCACGGCACCCTTTACCTGCGGTCCAGCGCAATATGATGGTAGTGAAATTTGGGCGCACAGTACTTAATTTTGTAAAAATCCAGTTATTTGACATAAAATTACTAGCGACTAGTAGAACCATAAGATGAAAAGAGCGAAAAATATGTGCGAGCTCACAGATCAATTGCGTCTAATGAAAATTTTAGGTGTTTCTGTGGCAATGTATGGACTCCGAGTGAACAGATAGCGAGCGCTAAGGGACAATTCCGACATTAAGGGCCAGTTTTTCAGTGGCAGTTTAAACGTACATTACGTAAACTGAGTTTAAATTGAATAGCTGGCTGACATTTGATTCGCTAATCTTAGTTTAAACCAGCCAGCTCGGGCGTTTTAACTAAGTTTAAACCACAGCCGGGCACTGAAAAACTGGCCCTAAAATTTGCAAAGTCATTTTGGCTAGTAATCAAGCGCTGGTTAAGCACCTACTCCGGCTTCAGTGGATTTATCGCGCTAGCCTAACCAACGTTACCTTATCAAATCGGTGAATGGTCAAATTTAAATATCGGGCATTGGATTGGATCTTGGAGGCGTGCTATAGAAACCTCTGCTATTTAAGACATCCTAAACTTCAGTTGAAAACCTTAAGACCGTGAAAAAAACGTATGCCAGGTTTTGTTAGTCGATGAGACTTGCCAAATTCAAAACCATTTCACCTAACATTCCTAGCCAAGGGTTAAGTACGTTTGCCTCAATCTGCAAGTGTTAATTCGCAAAGCTCAAAAAAACTTGCCTAAATTCGACAATTTTTGTGACACCTCAATTTCTCGTTTCGCTTCTAAATTTGCGTATAATTAATTTCATCTCATTTGCAGGTAGTGAATCTTGTAATTTTTTATGAATGCGTTTAACGGGCTTTGATTTCTGTTTTACCGGCACCAAAAATAAGCGGAGCGCGATGGAAAAGCAAGCAAAACAAAACTTTTTCCATATCGTTGGCAATTTTTAGCGCTCTGCAACTAATTCGCATTAATTTTAAAACAAGTTGCATGCGAACTCAGTCAAATGTTATGTATATTAAAAAATAATTAATGAAATGTAAATCATTTTTTATTTGTAATATTTTTCTTAATTAGGTTTTCGTTTCATTCAGGATTCGTTGACATTTGGCAAGCAGCTATATGCTCGGGTATATACATATGTACATACATATAATGATTGGGGCTTTGCTCTTGCTGTAACAGATAATAGTTGTTGTTTGTTTTTTTTTTCATTGATTTATGTATATATTTACACATGCGACACCTACATATTTTTATGAACTTGAAAGTGAAAGCACTTGTCGACTTAATGAGTTCGTTGAATTTTCAACTTGTTTGTGCAACACTTGCGAAAAATTAATCGGATTTAAAAGCAATTAAAATTAAAACCAACCTCAAAAGTCAATAAAGGCGTTAACGGAAAAATAAAACAGAAAAAAATGCAGCTGTAGATGGTATCGTTACTACATTCATACCTCTATTCGTACACAATTTTTTATGTTGTCCTACGATCAACTTAATAATATTTTGTGCGCCTTTTCTAGTCTAATTTCGCCTAACACGTAAATGCACTCGTAAAGCATTCTGCAAACAAATTAAAACAAAAACAATCTAATCATTTCGATATTTCCAGTTGCTTGAACCTCTGCACAGACCAAGGACAAATTAGGCATTCATATTTACACTTCGGCAAAATTTATGTAGCTACGTGCATTCGTCTGAGAAAAAAAATATTTAGGTATTGTGTATTTGTAACGATGGTTAGCTGGCTCAGCCGCAGAAATAAAAGAAAAAAGAATTAATGTTAAATGAAATTCAAACCCGTAAAGCCACAAAATTTCATCTGCTAAATATTTATACTCATAAATTGGTCTAAAACGAGTTTGTAAAGTAGATATTTAAAAAAAATCAAATAAAATACAGAAAAAAGGGTTTGTAATTTATATGGTTCTTTGACAATGCATTTTTAAAATGAATTTAATATTGGATAATCAATAATATTAATTGCAATTTAATGCCTGCTCATTGGATTTATGCCCATATACAATGGCCTATCTCCATGTAAACCGTCGTAATTATAATTTTCGGCACGTAAATAAAATTTGAATATTTTGATTCATTTTGAATTCATTAAAAAGTGCTTTAATTGGAAAGTTTACGAAAAGCGTAACGGTAATATCCAAAGTTAGGTGTCATTTGGGCACAACAGCTTGGTACCTCGCTACCCTCGACACTCAATACATAAATCCAAATTCGGACTGTGCAAAAATTATGAAAATTATGAAAAATATTACCAAAATTTCTAACTTTTTAATCGACATCAACGACACCAATGGCGCCCACGAACACTATGGAAGGACCAGGTGCAGAAGTGAATAACTCTTCACAAAGGAGAGATACAATTGGCGAAGTTTTTTTTGCTTCGCCTTAAACGAGCGGTTATACTTACTGAGAAAGTACTGAATGGTAATACTGTATTAGTATGAACTATGTCCACCAAAGCTGGAGACGTGCCAAAGTAGTGCCCATCCGAAAGCCTGGTAGGAAGAACCACGAAACAGCGAAAGACTTTAGACCTCTAAGCTTGACTTCCTTTGTTCCTAAAGCACTGGAAAGACTAATAAATTTATATATAAGATCGTTCTTGTGAGAAGAATCCCTAAAGAATATTCGTCTGCATGAAATAGACGGGTTCATAGATAAATCACTGCACTTCAAACTATACACTCAACCCGCTTTCCTGGATATAGAGGGCGCCTTCAACAACATTGATGTTGACACCATCATCCAATCATTCATGGGGGTTGGTGTTGACGGTGCTGTGGTTGGTTGGGTACGCTCCATGCTGCAAAGCAGAATTACTCAGGCGAAAAGCGGAGATAGTCTAATAACTAGCTTTGTGAGTAGAGGTACTCAACAGGGCGGTGTATTATTCCCACAGAAACAGCATACTCATAGAACTCAAAGAGGAGGAGTTAGAGTATACTGACGATATAGTGATAGCAGTCAAAGGGCATTTTCTTTCTACTGTAAGTGAACTTGTAGAAAAACCACGGGTATTTAGACTACACACGTGGGCCAAAGGCAGTGGCCTTAACGTAAACCCAGGCAAAACTTAACTGAATTTAGACTTCCATCCATAGGCGGAAAGATAATCCCGCTATCGACCAATGAGAAATAGCTGTGAGTAATTCTAGATACTAAATTAAACTGGAAACTTAACGTGAAGAAACGTAAAGAAAGGGGCTACATCGCTTATTATACTTGTAAACGGATGTTCAATAGAAACTAGGGTTCAAAACCGAAACTTGTGATGTGGATGTACACCGCTATCATAAGGCCGATCTAGGGTTGCCAGATTTTTTATGCGCGAAATCAGTACATTAGACTTTTTCATGCTAAAAAAATCAGTACTTTTCAGCAGGGTTTGAAAATGCTGTAATATTTTTATTTAATTTCCTTTTGCTGTGCTTTGACTTCGGCATGTATGATATCGAAAGCAAAGCAAAAGCAATTCAGAAAAAAACAAATGCTTTGGCTGCCCTTTTGCTATGAAATTTCGAAAGCATATCGGGGAAGCACAAAGACAGCGCAGCAGCAGCTAATTGACTATAAATTGGCTGCGAAGCATCGAATTGGCAGAAATAGAGGATATTATATGTATGCGTGCGCAAATCCACTAGTCGCTTACCATGATAAGCTTTGCATTGATGGCGGAGTTAATATGTACTTAGCTAATATACCATGCTGCAAAAGCGTCATTTGCACAATATAGCCAAGCAGATAGCAGCACAGCAAAAGCACTATCATAGCAAATCGAAAGCAATACAATTGTTTAAATAAACTGCCGAGAAAAAACAAAATAAACTTTTCAATATCACAGCAAAAGCAAAGCAGTTCGAATCAAAATCGAAAATTTCAAAGCTAAGCAAAAGCAAAAATAGTAATGCTGTTGCTGCCAAGGCGAATTAATATAAGGTGATAGCAGGAGTACAAAAACAAAAATTTACATGTATTTTGTTTTTGTTTTGGCGGCATAAACTGTCAAAATCTGTAAGAGTGTGTGTAGAAATTCAAACAAAATTTTTCAATTTGATATCAGAAGCCGTGCGGCGAAACACATACACAAAATCAGCTGAGCTAGTAACTCCACCTTATATAAATTCGCCTTGGTTGCTGCTTTGCTGACAGTTTTTCAAACCCTGCTTTTCAGTACATTTTTATTCAAAGCAAAATTATGAATGCAAGTAACAGAAAATAATTTAAAACGCCTGAGTTCATGTTTTTAACAATATATAAATAAAGTAGAGTTCATAAAAAGCAAAAATGTTATTCATTTTAACATGAGTGTACACATCATTGTACACAGGAGCCAATAAATAATTTTATATTTGTGACTTTTTGAATAGCAATAATGAGATCATTCCCATTTTCAGTGTTTAAATAGTC